AGTTGAGGCACAACATTTGATTTTTGGAAAAAAGCAAGTAGAAAGCTCATAGCTTTCAAGAGAAAAATATAACCCAAACTACTTTGTCTGAGTGAAAGCCTGCTCCACAGGCTAAGGGGGCCACTGTAAGTGTGCACATACCCACCTCTTGCAGGCTGTTCTAAGGTGACAGCCATAAGTGTGGAGAAGCCTGTCTCCTGCTGGTTGTTCTGGGCAGCGCAGCCTCCTTCAGCTCCATCTCCTGCTCTCCTGGGGGGCAGGTGGAGGAGGATTGGTGGTGACTGTAGGAGGCTAACCACTGCCATCAGCAGTTTGAGGTGGGGTGAGAGGACAGCAGTGTCCCCATGGTCTGTCTACAGGGACATGCTGCATCTCCATTTGATTCTAGGCATGTGCACACTGGTAACGCTAGTCTTAGTAGGTTTCATAGGATTTCTTTTTCTGCTGGATGAACGGGATAGGAACAGTCCTTGCTTTTAGAAAGAGAAGGTCGCTTTCATTTTCCTTTGCCTTATTCGGATGTGAGTTATTTGTAACTGGGCCCAGTCTGCATCTTCTCTGAATAAATAAAGATGTCCCCTTGATTGGGGGTTCAGAAGCCACTCCACTGACTCTAGAGCTGCCTGCACAGTTCAAGTTAAGCTTCCAGCATCAAGTCATTTGAAAATATAAAGATGCTCTTTATAAATCAACTGTGAAGGATCTTTTAAAGGGCAATTTAGGAAACTGTTAGGTCAAAGACTATGGGTAAAGGAAGCTCTTTCTAACAGACAGTAGTGTGTTCTCAATGCTTTTGTCTTTGACGAACATTTACTAGTTCTTTAAAACTGAGTTGGAAAGCCAGGTCCTTTGGTACATGGTTGCAATCCCAGTTCTCAGGAGGCAGGAGGATTGCAAATTGGAGGGCAGCCTTGGCTACTAAACTCATTCAAGGCCAACCTAGGCTGCAGAGTAAGACTCTGTCTGTAAACAAGTACTCCCCACTCCAAAAGTAAAAATTGAATCATAAGATCACAAATCATATATATATATATATATATATATATATATATATATTAGCAGTGAATTTAGAGTTTAATTTCTGCCCTCTCCCACTTATATAGCTCTTTCCTGAAAGAATGTGGGAATGTTCATTAATGGCATTCTTGAGATACCACATCCACAGAGCCTTAAAGATGTTACTGGTCTTGCTTTCAAGAGTGTTTCTGGGTTTCTTGTACTGGTTTTCAAACACTGAAAGTGAACACATGGACTTTCACATTCCTCTGCACCCAAGGACATGACTGCTCATTAGGGTGCCACCCTGAGCTTCATGATTGATGGATAAAGCTTGAGTAATGTCAGGTCTCTGTTGCGATGAAGGTAGCTGAATGTGACTTGTCAAACATCTCAAATATCAGCCATAAATCCACCCACGCAGATGTCTAAGATTAACCATTGTAGACACAAGTTACATACAGTACATCTCTGCTATGCCACATAGAAGAAGAACGTAGAGCAACAGTACACAATGGTATAATGGAGTAGAAGAACGTAGAACGGGCAACACACAATGGTAGAGTGGGTACTTGCAGATTGGGGGGTAACACGTACTTTCCATTCCATTTCATAAGTTGTTTTTTCTCTCACTTTCAAATTTATAACAGTGCAAATATATATCGGTAAATATCCAAGCAGCTTAATTTTCTGAAGTCAAGGAGATGCTTTAGTTAATGACAGGGCACATTTAGAGTCAGAACAAATGGTAAAGGCAAATCAAATTGCACCTTGCTTGGTGTGCAACAGTTATCTTGTGTTTGTGTGAACTCTGTGCCTAAATCTATACCCCTGCAATGGGTGGTAAACCAGGAGCTGGCTCCATGAAGGACCAAGCATTTAGAGATGTAATGGGGTTGGGACAATGGGAAGCATAGAGAACAGAATCACTTTGTAATTTTTCTTAAGAGCGACCATACACAATCCCTCCCTCTCATCCATGCTTGATCTAGGGCTCTCTTGGCTTCTTCACATTCCTCCCTAGAGCTCTGAGCCAGTATTACTGAATTTCACTTTGATGAACTCAGTGCCATATATGTTTAGGGCAGGATAACTAAAGAAGTTTTTTTTTTTTCTGGATGTTAGAAATGGCACCCAAGAATCTCTACCCTGGAAGGCTCTACAGTTAAGAATGTTCTAATACATGAGAGTGAGTTAAAGAACAGAGGCACCAAATTGAAGGGTCTTCCTTGTAGCTCTCCTGTCTCTTTCAAGCTCTCCTCACTCAGTACCTCTCCCATGTTTCCTTTCTCCCCGCTGACTGCTCAGTCTCACAATAATTTACTGAGCTTGGAACTTCAAAGTGCCCCTTTCCTTCATCTTTGTCTTTGTTAAAGTTTCTGTTGCTATGACCAAACACCATGACCAAAAACAAAGTAGGGGAGGAGAGGGTTTATTAGGTTTACACTTTAGCATTGCTGTTCATCACTGAAGGAAGTCAGGACAGGAACTCAAACAGGGCAGGAACTTGGAGACAGGAGCTGATGCAGAGGCCATGGGGAAGGGTGCAGCTTACTACCTTGCTACCCCAGCCTACCTTGCTCAGCCCACCTTCTTTTAGAACCTAGGAGCAACATCCCAGGGATGGCATCACCCACATTGGGCTGGGCCCTCCCGCATCGATTCCTAATTGAGAAAATGCCTTATATCTGAACTCACTGAGGCATTTCCTCAATTGAGGCTCCTTCTTCTGATGACTCTAGTTTGTATCAAGTTGACACACAAACCCAGCCAGTACAGTCTTCCTTGTATTTCATTCTTTTCTTCCCTGTTTTACTTTATACTTAGCAAATATATCCTGAGAACGTACAGAGTCTTAAGACTGTTGGTGTCATTATATAATGAACATTTAGAATTCTAGCATTCTGAATAGTGGCAAGGAAGAAAATCTTTATCTTGACTTACCACGCTATGGTGAAAACAAGAAACCATTAAGTAGGTGTGTGCATAAGTGAAGTTGCCTCTTGGCTGACACAGAGTATTGAGAAATGCTGGACCATCTCAGACAATTCAGGGACTCAGAGCATGACCAGTAACATGGTAGGAGGTCAGAGAGACCTGGGAAGAAGGGCTATATGTTTCTGCTCCTGAAGTTTAGACATGGCCACATGTGGCTGATGAATTAAAGACCTTTAAGGAAGCCGGTATTAGAGGGAGAGTCAAAGGACCCTGATCAAAGTTAAGGTGAGCAAGAAGTCTGACAGCCTGGGAAGAGGCAGGGGCTCCTGCTGTAGAGGCAACTAGCTCACATTCTCCTGCTTTCTTCTCACTGAACTAGAGTCAAAATAAAATATGAGTCACTGTGCAAAGCTGTCCAGATAATCATCAGGAAGTATATGTGTGTGCCCATGTGTCTATGCATGTGTGCATGTGAGTGCATGTGCTTGTGTATATTTGCCTGTGCATGCGTGTGTGTGTGTGTGTGTGTGTGTGTGTGTGAAGAAGGCTGGGGACCACTTGGGTAATCATTCATGAGCCATAGAGTGGCAGTATATCCATCATTTGGCATGCACACACATAAGCTATTTGACAACTAGAACAAACACTTTGCTATTGTTTTTGTTATCACTACTGTTCTTGTAAGATTCCTTTTGCTCAGATGTATGTTCACGAGTGTGCATGAGCATATGTGTGGAAGCCAGGGGTCAACTGAGGGTGTCATTTTTCAGGTATCTTCCACCTTGATTTTTAAACACTGTCCTGGAATTCATAAGTAGTCTAGACTAGAAGAACAGAGATTCTCAGAGATCCAGTAGAGTCTGCCTCCCTGACTCTGGAATTACAAGCATACTTCACTAAGTCTGGCCTTATCCCCCTTGCTAGGCATCGAACTCACAGCCTCATGCTTGCTTGCAAAGCAAGTGCTTTATTGATGGAACCATCTCCCTGTCCCATGGTTTTTTCCATTTATTCTCTACTTAATTTCAATTTGATTTCATATGAGACAATAAAATAGATTTGTTCTCATTTTGTGTTTAGAAAGAAAAACTGATCTTCAAGATTCGTTTAGAAAAGGTTAAATGAAACCTGAAGGGGTTTAAACTTGAGCAAAGTTTTAAAGGTAATTGTGTCTTAAAGTTGAATTATAAAAAATTTAGAAACCAATATCATTTTTTTTTTGATTTAGGAAGGTTATGAGAATAAGCAATATCCCTGAGGAGGTTAATGTGTTGTTGAAAGTAATAATTTTAACAATTTTAAACCCATGTTCAAAGATAAAATTGGACTAATTTTCAAGAGATATCAGTCTTAATTTCTCAGGAAATCACAGTGATTAAATTAACTGCAGGTAGACATTCTTATGCTTTGAAGATAATATGAATGTGTTGGGGGTTGGAGAGGAAAGAGGAACAGTGTATATTCTAACAAGGGCTTCACAGTTGAAGCATCTCCTGTCTATCTCTCTTGAAGCAATTCATATATTCAAGGCAAAATTCCCTACTTCAGCTTCCTTGACTGTCTTTGTCTTAAAACTCAATTTGAATGAAGGGCTAGAATGTTTTTCTTAGAATTGGGACAAAGAATTTTTTTAATGGAGTGCATAATATGCCAATTCTAAAGAAAATACTGTCATATGCGGAGAATGCTGAATATTGAAAAGGCAGTTCAGTTCCTCCCGTGGATGTATCTCAGGGCCCTGTCCCCACTTCTCTATGAAACTGGGCACTGGACAAAGACGGTAATGTCACACTCATTACTCCGTCCTTTGAAATTACTCTCTCCCTTTGAAACGAGCTATTGAAATTGCTGACTGTTAAGGAAATTGCACATGGATGAGAGACTAAATGGACTGCCATGTCAGCCGAGCCTTCTGCAGATGCTGTAGTTCACAATGGTGAAGAAAAGAAAAGCAAATTATTTTCTTCAAATCTTTCCAAACTCAGAACTATGTAGGCAGTAGGTCTGTGTCTAGTCCCACCCAGATAACAAGCACAGTCTCTCCTTCCCAGACCCGGTGGGATTACCTGAATTTTTAGTGTCCTTGAAAGCTTTTCTTAGCTCTGAGGTGGCCAGGACCCTCGACTTCCAGGATGGGAGCCTGTGGTGTTCGCCTGGCTGGACGGTCTGCCCTGTTGGTGTTCGCCTGGCTCGACGGTCTGCCTAAAGGCTCATATTATTGACTGTGATTCAAGTCACATGCATGGATTTCCAAATCTTTCCTGCCTTGATCCTAAATGAAACAGAGGGATCCTGAGATCCAAAGGAAAAGAAGAAGATGAAAAATGATCTGGTTTAACATGCAAGAAGTTCTTGTAAAAATAAAATGATGATATTTATCCTGAGATGCTGTTTGGGGAAGAAGGAAGAAGTGACATCCACTCTTCCTGGGAACAAGTGGCGATGTGAGCTCTTGCGTGCAAAGACAAGAATGTAACGAAAAAGCTGATTTCTGATCATTTGATATAGTTAATATGCATCTTAGACCAGCACTCAGTAACTTTGACGTTGTTTCTAGTGAAACCATGATAGTTTCAAAAAGCAGTTCAAAAATGTTTAGTTAAAGCATGGTGTCATGCTGCTCTGTAATTTAGCACAATGAAACAAAAGCTGAGAAGCCCTGCATTTGCACCATGGAAAGAGGAGGAAAAATAGTTTCAATTTATTTTGCATGCAAATGGAAGGTTTCTTGCTTTAGGGTGATAAATATGTCATGTCTATATTTAAATTTTGGCCCCAGAAGCAGTCTTACTGCTTATATGAATGTGCATAAATTTCCATCCAAAAGGAAAAGATACTTTAAAAATACCCACCTCAGTGGAATGGCAATACAAATTAAGCGCATTCATCCTTGTCAAAAGAAATTTATTAATTAAAAACTGACACTAAGTTTGTTTTATAGGAGGCAATTATTTAATGTAACTGCGACTGAAATAAAATATTTGTATAATCTATTGTGGAATTCTAAAATGTATATACAGAATATAAAACATCCTAACCCATGAGTCAAAAGTGTTTAACCTAAGTCTAATTGTGAGGAAACAATTAGATGAACCCAAACAGAAGGGATGCAACAACCAAGACTAGAGACAGTGTTGACACTTAATGATACAGTAGATTCTATAGTAGTCATGCTTTCTACACCCAAGGATTCAACTTATTTCAGATTGTTTATTAGAAAAGAATTGCACCTGCATAGGATGATGAACTTTCTTTTCTTGTTCTTATTTCTTGAGCAACACAGTGTAGTATCTCATTATGAAGCATTCACATTGTATTACCTATAGTACTGTGGTCTAAAGCACACTGGAGGGTGTTAAATGTTTCATTCTATGTAAGGCATGAGAGCATCCTTGAATGTGGTACCCACAGGCTTCTGGAAATAGCCTCCCCATAGATATTAAAGATATACCACACATAATGTAGTGATCCTTGATTGAAACCTGGATTGAAAATGAAATGCAATGACTTCTCTTGACCAGAAAGGACATTGTTAAGACAGGGGAATTTGAATTGTATAGGTTTCTTAAAAGAAGAATATATATTTTTGAACAAATATATAATTTAGACAATGAGTGGATTATTATTATTAATTTGAAACCCTTTCCTACTGGTAAAACTACAGGAAAATGGTTGGAAATTCTAAATTCATAAACACATTTTTCTTTTCTTCTGTTTAAAATGTGTATGAGTGTTTTGTCATCAAGGATGTAAGTACCATGTGTGTGCCTGATACCCTTGAAGTGAGACCAGGAAAGGGCACGGATTCTCTGGAATTAGAGCTACAGACAGTTGTGAGCTACCACGTGTGTGCTGGGAACTGAACCTGTGTCCTCTGCAAGAGTGACAAGTGCTCTTAGCTGTTGAGTCACCTCTCTAGCCCCATGTGCACATTTTCATAGCAATTAAAAACCTGCTGGGTATGCACACAAAGGGTTAGAGCAAGCTTTTCAGCATGTTCCTGAACATTCAGTTTTAGGGACCACTGATTTCTCACAGCTTGACACTCATGTCTTCCTTCCAGGGAGATGAAACTGTACAGCTAGTTCTCTGAGAAAGACCCCTGGCCATTCCACATTCACCAACATAAGTCCTTTGTTGTGTGTTCTCAGGTTGATATGCAGGATCTTGATTTCCTCATAGGTAGCTGAAACTCTAATGACATCCTTTATTCTTTCTTGTATAGATCATCATCATCATCATCAGACCTGGACTGAGACGCTTGCTTCACACATTTTGGTATGTAATTGACAGCGCTCTGAATCTAGTTCTTTGAGCGATGTTTGTGACCTGAAAATCCCACTCTCCACTCTGTTATTCTGATTTATGAACCAAGTCAGAATAAGCCAAGTATGCTTGTCCCCAAGCTAATATTATGAAAAGGAAAGATAATATTATTGGTAAATTACCAACTCTGTTTACCTTTAATTTCCCTTGAAAATGGATTCTAGGTGGTGATTATTTTACAAGGAAAGAATTGTTTATATATTTATGGGTTAATTTCTTTTCATTTTCCTTTCAGTCTGAGCAAACCTTACTATAGTAGACTAAGCACTGCAGAATCATATTATGACAAGATTCTGCTTTGTAAACAACTGTGGGTTTAGATGTCTAGATATAAGTTAGATGTTCTACAAATGGGTATTAATTATTATAAGTTTATAATGAATTATAATATAAAGACATAACAGCCTTAAGATATTCCTTCATTTAAAATTCAACTTTAATGACCTATTCAAGATTCTGTAATTTTAGATATAAATGTTTTTGCTATTCCTTTGATATGTGATTTATAAAATGACTTAAGAAAGATTATATATTTTGCTCCCAACTGTGTCATATAGTTCCTTATTTGAAGATGAATGCTTAAGAGAAATCCCATACTAGCTCAGAATTGAGTATAATAGAGGGTTATTTATTTAGGGGAAGACTCACAGATTACAGTCCTCTGTTCAAGTGGGAAAAAGCAACCAAATCTCACAGCCAGAAGAGAGACCAGACGTGTCCTTTACATTAGCACACATAGTATAAGAGGCCACACTCAAGTGGGTGGATAACTTAAAGGCTATAGGCTGTAGGAATTCCTATAGCATCTCCACCTTTTGTTTAAATAAGAAAGTTCTAAGCTGAATACAAAGTTATATACAATAAGAACAAATATCAGGTATAAAAATTAGAATTAAAGCCAGCATAAACAATATCAAGCAAAAAATGTGATAAATGTTCCAATAATTACCCTATCTTAATGAGTTTAAGTCTTGTATAATAAATAACTTGGCCAAGTAATGAGAGGAAAGTAACTACAATTATCTAGTCTTCAACCCAAGCGAAGACCCAAGAAGGGAAATAATATTACTTGAGAAAGCAGGAAGTGAAATCAAGCAACTTCCAAAATGTGCAAAAAATAACAGAGACAACTGGCTACCTGAGCATTCACTCAAAGTCTCATTTGCAACATTGGAGCAACCAACTTTGGCTAAGGCCTAGAGAAACAGACTATTTTCAGAGGCAGAAAATTTTTCAAAACTGTCTTACAAGTCTTGGCAAGATTTGACAGTCTTTTTTCTTGTATCCTGCTTGTCCTGTCCGGATATCAAGAATTTTGTCAGTGGTTGATGCATGGGCAGTTCCTTGTTCAAAGGCTAGTTTTGCCAAGAAAAAAACAAGCTCCAAGTGGAATGTCTTTGGTGCTCAAAATTCTCTTGAGAATAGATTGGTGCTGCCAGAAGTAATTGTGTCTCACATCAAATTATTTAAAAGCCATATTCTACAGCTCTTTGAAGTGGTTGAAGATTCCCTATCTATGTAGAATAAAATCTCTGTGTATCTAAAGAACATGTTTAGTCTAGCTATAAGTATGATAAAACATGATGACTATTGACCTATAATTCTTAATAGCTATATAACTTAAAGACCAAGATTTCATATTAAAATATTGAACAATCTTTAAACAACTGTGCAACAAATGAAGACAGTGACCTCAAAATGTAAACAATGTGTAAGTTTCTTGATCAGAGGTAGGAATGTATACTGCAATATGCTAAAAATATCCTAAAATTGTATCAACATACAAAATGTCTTAAGCAGAGATAGAAGCGTGTTGGGTGTAGACTACTTGTTCATCCCAGCCACCCAGAACTGAAATAATCACACAGAAACTGTATTATTTAAGATACTGCTTGGCCTATTAGCTCTAGCTTCTTATTGGCTAACTCTTACATCTTAATTTAACCCATTTCTATTAATCTGTGTATTGCCACATGGCTGTGGCTTACTGAGTAAAGTTCCAGGCATCTGTCTCTCGCAGGGCTTCTCCCTAACTCCACTTCCTTTCTCCCAGCATTCAGTTTAGTTTTCCCCATCTAGCTCTGTTCCCCTATAGCTCTGCTTTAGGCCAAAAACAGTTTCTTTATAAAACCAATGATATTCACAGAATACAGAGGGGAATACAACATCAGAAGCATACATGCATGCAATATGACAAAATAATTTTGCCTAGGTATATAAATATTGCAGACTAAAATTGGAACATATTCAATATAATTTAAGTTTGTATCAATATGCAAGAATCTATGCCAATGTAAATAATAGTTCACAAGTATTCACTCTATTACTCACTTTTATTATTAGTGTGAGTAAGCTCACACTAATCTATTATCCTATCCAGTTTTCCCAAAGAGATCTAATCTATTATCCCATCCCTTTTTCCCAAAGAGATCCCTGAGCTTACATAATTTTCCCCCAACCCCCAACCCTATAACAATTATAATCAACCCCTAAATGATGAGGACAAACTTTGCTGGGAGAGGGGATGTCATCTTCTAGAATTACTTCCAGCTGTCATGGGGGTGATGTTCTTTCAATAGATCCTGTGAAAGTAAAATGTTGGTTAAGTTCCAAGATTACTGTCTGGCATAATTGCAAACAGTCTCTGAGTATTTGGTAGGGTTTTTATGAGATTCTTATTTAGAGTTCTGGCCAGAACATTGTAAAAAAATACACCATTTCAGCTAAGCAAGTTGGAAGCATCTTGAGCAATTGGTACCCAAAACAGGTAGTACAGTAGCACTATCAGCATCATGATATCATACAATCCAGGTGGAGTGTTGTTGTGGGGTCCCATCTTCTTCCTGGAAATTTCAAATGTTACTGCAGGAAAATTCATTGTTTTTTGTGGAAAACTTAAACATTATTTATATAGACATATATTCAATGAAAGGCACACTAGAGACAAAAATTGGTATAAAGAAAAGTAAAATATTTTCTAAATTCTTCTTTCTGTCCCATACCGTGGCTCCTAACATGAGACAGAAACTCTGAATATTTATTTTAACAACCGGCTTGGATTTAGAGAAGGACAGAGCCAGTGTCCAACTCCTAAGCCAGCTTTGATTTTTAAGTGAGTCATGATTATTATTTTATTTAGTATTCAGAGATTCTTACTCTCAGATGACATGTTCTTATAAGTGATAATTCTCTTTGCTTGGTGATCCTTTCTGGATAATTACTTTTTCCTCTTTAGGCATCTAGATGTCCAGAGTTTCTTGACTTTTTGAAGATGAGTATTTTCCTGCAAAGAAAAGAACAGAACCCTGACCCAACCCTTGTGAGGTTTCCTTACCACCCAATTGGTTGTCACCTCTGTGAATGAGCCATCATTTCTCTTTCTCAAGAGATTTTTCTTTTTCAAACCAAATCTTTATTAATTTTGATGGTATCCATAACTTTTCTTCTCCTGTTGAAATAAGAGCAAAACCCCTCCCCCAATGTAGCCCATCTCCTGGTTTCCATTGTGAGTTCAACACATCCTTGAAATACATTGGCTGATTTAATTCAGAAGACTTTTCTATTATCCAATGTCTCTCTGCTGCTGTTGTCCCTTTTTCCTTGACCTTAAGAAAATTCGAGGTTAATAAAGCATTATGTAGTCTATTTCTGGGGGGTATTTTCCATCCCTTTCTGTTTGTTTAAAATATCCTTTATAGTTTGATTTGATCTATCTACAACTGCCTGACCTGTAGGATTATTTGGTATACCTGTAATATGCTTTTTATTATAATAAGCAAAAAACTGTTTAATTTTCTTAGAGACATATGCTGGACCATTAACTGTCTTTATTTGTGCAGGTATACTTATGATGGCCATAACTTCTAATAAATGTGTTATTACTGAATCAACCTTTTCTGAGTTCAAGGAAGTTGCCCATTAAAAACTTGAATAAGTGTCAATGGTGCAGTGTACATATTTTAATTTTTCAAATTCTGCAAAGTGGAATATATCCATCTGTCAGATTTTATTCTTTTGAGTACCCTTTGGGTTAGTCCCTACATGTTGTGGTGTTTGGTTACAAAAGAACAAGTAGGACATCTCTTTATAATTTCCTTAGCTTGTTACCATGTAATAGAAAACTTTTTCTTTAAACCTTTGTTATTGACATGATGTTTCTTATGGAATTCTGAGGCCTTCCAACACACTTCCAATCAGTAATTGATCAATTTCTGCATTACCTTGTGCTAGAGGACCTGGAAGACCTGTACGGGATAGGATGTGTGTTATGTATATGAGATAAAGCCTATTACTGATAATATCTTGAACCTGTATGAATAATGAAGTCAATTTTGCCTCATCTTGTATAAATCCAGTGATTTCAATATGCAAGACAACTCTTTCTGCATATTATTAATCAGTAACTATATTAAAAGGTTCTTTAAAATCCCTTAGCACCATGAGGATAGCATATAATTCTGCCTTTTGGACAGAATTACAAGGGCTTTTTTTCAGCCACACTTAAAAATTTTCTGATATGTAACCTGTATATCCTGATTTATTTGCATCAGTATAGAATGTATGGGCTCCAGTTATTGGTGTATCCTATACAATGTGGGGAAGGATTCCAGTAGTTCTCTTTATAAGGTTGATTCTATCACTTTTGGGATAATTGCTATTAATCTCTCCAAAAATTAGCATAAGCTCTTTGCCAAGGTTCAATATCTTCCTATATTTTTTAATTTAATCAGTAGTGAAAGGCACTATAATCTCTGCTGGGTCTCTACGTGCTAGTTGATGAAATCTCAATTTCCCTTTTATAATTAATTCAGAGACTTTTTCCACATAAGTTTTTAATTTTTTCTTGGTTTATGTGGTAAAATATCCATTCTAAGATAATATCTTCCCTACGCATTAAAATTCCTGTAGGGGAAATTCTGGAAGGCAATATAACAAAAATGCAATTAAGATTT